AAAATGTCGTGGTGGCCCGGAGGTTTAAGACGCCCACTTCTCATGCATGAGGGTGCGGGTTCGAAACCTACCAACGGCAAGTACCAATGTGACTTTTTCCGAGTTATATGTACTTTCTAAGATTATTTAGACACCACTGACAAACGGTGAAGGAAAAACATCGTGAGGAAACCTGGACTTATAATTTCTAATTATAAGTTTGAAATCGCCAACCCGCATTGAGCAAGCGTGGTGATTAATGCTCTAACCTTCTCCGTGTGAGAAGAGGCTTTGCTCAGCAGTGGGCATTTATAGGCTGTTGATGATGATGATTTTCTTTGTAAAAGATGCTTTGAAAACGTTGTTTCGATGTTACATATCGCTTTGAGCATGTTATGTTATGTTTGTTCACTTGTTCGGCCACTTATAAATTGATTCTAACATAAATTACTTTAAAAAGCACAAGTTCTTTTTGCTTAAAGGTTTAGATGCCTGATTGAAAACTATATTCTAATGTCGAAAAACTACACGAAGATGCCTGTTGATATTAATAAAAAAAAAACATATTATAATACATATTACATAAAGATTGAGTGTTAACACCATGATTAACGATCAATGTAATAAACTTATTGAATGAAATAATTTATTCCACAATAGAACATGTCGAAGAACTAATACAATGGTATCCTTGACTTCTAGTTTAGAAACAATTATAAATATAGAAACTACGTAATATTATAGCATTAGTAACATATTGGATAATATTTCTATGTAAAATCTTGTAGATAAGGGGTTGCATAGATTATTTTGCGCAATTAACACAATATAACAAGGTCTCCGCCTTACAATCGGAAATGTCGTCATATCAAATTGCTGTTCACACATGTAAGTTCACTATTTTATCCAAAATTTTGTACACCACTACAAATAACGTAACCAATCATTTACTTTGTCCTTATCTAATAACAGTTCTTGCTTTCGCATAATTATTTAGTTTGGGATATTTTTTCAGTTTTCGGTTTTTGTTCATTGACTGAACTGATTTGTCATTGAAATAAGTTTTTATTTAGGTACTAGCTTTTGCCTGCAACTTCGTCCGCGTGGAATAGTGACTTTCGGCAGAAAAGTATAGATAGCTGTGCCCGCGACTCCGTCAGCGTGTAACTCCTTGTGTACTAAGTTAATGAATGGAGTAACTTCTCCCGTTTTCCCAATATTTCCCTTCACTGCTCTGCTCCTATTGATCGTAGCATAATGAAAAGTATACTATAACCTGCCCAAGAGTATATAGAATAATTGTGCCAAATTTCGTTAAAATCCGTCAAGTAGTTTTTGTTTCCATAACGAACATACAGACAGACAGACAGACAGACAAAAATTTTACTGATTGCATTTTTGGCATCAGTAGCGATTCCTAACCACCCCTTGATAGTTATTTTTTAAATATATTTTATGTACAGAATTGACCTCTCTACAGATTTATTATAAGTATAGATAGATGAGTATAAAACCAGTGATTGGTTATTACATAATAATCAATTACAAATATGTTGTATTTAAAAGTTTTTGTGACTTCTCTTGTTATATTAATTAGCATACAATTAGCTAGTTGTTCCTTGTAATTTTAAATAATTCAGCAATATTAATTACTTGAGACATATCTTACCAATAATATTTACTTATTTTTGAAAATTAAATAACTTGAAATACAAATTTCGAGTCAGAAACTCTAGGAGGAAAACGGGCCTGCAAGACTAGGTACGATTTTATCAGAAACATGCGAAGGCCCGGTACTGACCACTTTAAACGCCAAGTCACGCAAACGTTTATGTATTCTTTTGTTGTGGACGAGAATCGACAGCCTCGGCAATACTCCACACTCATTTATCCTCTGACAATAAAAACTATGTCTTAATACGATGTTATGAAAGTCTGAAATCTTTCCACTACTGTGTTATTATTATTCATGCGCCTGGTCTGAGCTCCTGGAAGTTGACAGCATATATCAAAAAGAGACGTCATATTTTGCACGCCTAATCTACCCATTGTAATATTCCAGATGAGGCATCAGCGCTGGGCATCAAACTTGGCGACGGCAACATGGGTGCTGTTCACCCTTCTGCTGCCAACAGACGCACAGCTCCTCAATCCTGTCACATCGTTCATGAACTTCCTGAATGAAGGCTCCAATCAACTGGACAACGAACCACCAGATCAAAATAACATGCTGAGTGAATATGACTTCATCATCGTAGGAGCCGGTACAGCGGGATGCGTGTTAGCAAACCGTCTTACTGAAATCCCAGATTGGAAAGTTTTACTTATTGAAGCAGGTAACAATGAAAATTATGTCATGGATATCCCAATCGTAGCAAACTACCTTCAATTCACATCAGCTAACTGGGGATATAAAACAATGCCCTCTAAAAAGTACTGTGCAGGATTTGAGAACCAGCAGTGTAACTGGCCTCGAGGAAAAGTAGTCGGAGGTTCTAGTGTCCTAAATTATATGATTTATACACGAGGAGCTAAACCTGACTACGACAGCTGGGCAGCGATGGGTAATGATGGCTGGAGTTGGGACGAAGTTCTGCCATATTTCAAGAAAATAGAAAACTTCAACATCCCGTCGTACAATGATCCAAAATATCACGGGCGCGATGGACACCTCAACGTCGAATACGCTCCATTCCGAACCACTAAAGGGAAGGCTTGGGTCAAGGCAGCACAAGAAATGGGTTTTAAATATAGTGATTACAATGGAGCAGAACCTGCCGGTGTATCTTTCCTTCAACTATCAATGAAAAATGGAACTCGTCATAGCTCTAGCAGAGCTTATTTACACCCAGCCAATGGTCGAAATAATCTCCATGTGTCTAAGGGCAGCATGGTAACCAAGCTTATTTTTGACGAAACCAAGACTAGAGTAATTGGAGTCGAATTCGAAAAACAAAATGTGAAACATAAAATATTGGCGAAGAAAGAAGTGATTGTATCTGCTGGAGCTATTAATTCTCCTCAACTATTGATGCTGTCAGGTATCGGTCCAAGAAATCATTTGGAATCAATGAGAATAAACGTTGTAAAAGATTTACCAGTAGGGTACAATTTAATGGACCACATAGCTGCCGGTGGAATTCAGTTCTTAGTTCGACCGCAAAATCTGACGCTGTCTACAGAATACATATTAAATCATTTAGAACTAGTGTTCAAATGGATGAGATCACATAAAGGCCCACTGTCAATTCCTGGTGGTTGCGAAGCTCTTATATTCCTGGATTTGAAAGATAAATTCAACACAACAGGTTGGCCTGACATGGAACTACTCTTCATTTCAGGCGGATTGAACTCGGACCCACTATTACGACGTAATTTCGGCTTTGATAACCAAATTTATGATGATACTTACGGCCCGCTAGGAAAGTCTGACGCCTTTATGGTCTTCCCGATGTTAATGCGACCCAAATCAAAAGGCAGAGTTATGCTACGAAGCAAAAACCCCAGAGCACACCCAGCCATAATACCAAACTATTTTGAGTATGCAGAAGATTTACAGAAGATTGTAGAAGGAATTAAAGTAGCAGTGCAAATAGCAAGACAACCAGCTCTGAAGAAACTTGGTGCCAAATTGTACGATGTTCCGATAGAGGACTGTTTACAATACGGTCCGTTCGGTAGCGATGAGTACTTCGCTTGCCAAGCACAAATGTTCACATTCACTATCTACCATCAGAGTGGCACTTGCAAAATGGGAGTAGAGAGTGATCCTTCAGCAGTGGTGAGTCCGAGATTAAAGGTCCACGGTATTGAGGGTCTCAGGGTAATAGACGCAAGTGTTATGCCTGAGATAGTGTCCAGTCATACAAACGCCCCTACGTATATGATTTCCGAAAAAGGAGCAGACATGATAAAACAGGATTATGGTAAATTGAGATAGAACTGTCTATACGTGTTTTTTTTAAATTTATAAAGCACATCTGTGATGTTATTAGTTACATAAACTTACATAAACTTACAGTTACATAAACTTAAGTGTTTGCAATTTTTATGATAAAAGTGACCATATAATTGTATTTATTAAATGTATAACAAAAATATTTTATTTGTACCTCTATAATAATATATGTATAGGTTATGTTAGAAATCTTTGTCAGTAGGGTAGTTTCCTCTGATTGGTTTTGGACAAAACCATAGAAATATTTTTAGGAATCAATTTACTACCAGGTGAATAAAGCACTACTTGGGTCGAATCATTTCACCTGGATTATGTCACTTGGATGAAATAATGCCCAGGTGAAATGATGACATCAAAAAGTAGAATACGCCAATATTATACGTAAGTTGGACAGATTGAGCTCCAAAAAATGGGACCAACTAGACCACCCTATTGACGACGTTAAACTATTGAAATGTCTATTTTAGTTTTATCAAGTGTATAGAAAAATCAAATGTTACATGATTGACATTACTAACATTCAATACCTTAATGGTCAATCCCATACATTGATTTATTTTACGGCCTTTTGTCTTGTCTAGGGGGACTATAGTGCAAATTAAATAGTTAAGATTATACTCCATAGATTATATTATAGAATATACTCCATTGGATTAAAAATGTTTTGTTATAGGACAAATCCAGTTTGTATGAAACTGTGTTAGCATTTCGGTATTGGGGTTATTTTAGAAACGTTTGTTATTTATCTAGAGGTCGGTAGTAAACTATGTATTTAATACCGAATATTACCGAATGAAAAACATAATTTTAAGTATTTTATAGTTTTAAGTACATTACATACCAGACGTATACTACCGTATATTCTACGTCTTTGATTGGCGATAGCAAACTATTGTAAGCAAAATCTGTGTGTGGGTCTACAGTGAACCAGAGGACCTTAATGTGTTAATACCATTTACAACCTTATATTTTAAATATTGTCTAACTTATACTAAGAGAACGATGTCAAAATAAGTACGTTAAAATAATTTTAAGAAACCACCACATATGCGGGTAAACAATTAGTTTTAAACGAATCAAAGCCATTTAACTTTATGTACCAAACCAAAATATTGCTCTCTGTCTACCTACTATTAAAGAAATATTTTTCTTTCGCAATATAATTTATATTTTTCTTTAGCTGTAAATGAATAAATGTGAATTACTAAATAATATTTGTCTTATACTATTTTTATATTACAAAGCTTAAGATGTTGGATTGCTTGAACGCGCTAATCTTCGGAACTCCTGGTCCTAATTGAATAATTATTTTTGTGTTGGACAGTCGATTTATCGAGGAAGGTATATAAAAATCACGCTACCATCAATAGGAGGCGGGTAGTACGTGTGAAACCAGCCGGAGTAGCTAGGAATTCATATTTTCAATTGTACCATTAGTGAATTTATTAAAGAAATACGAAAATAATATGTTTTGTTTGATTTTCCTTATATAACTGAATACTATGCTACTTGAACAGAAAACAGTTTTTCATATTTTGTACACCGTGTAATCTATTTCGTTTCCCTCCCGCGGCAAAACAACTGGGTATATGGAATACTTTCGATGTATAAAGTAAAAACAAAAAATAAAGAAGTAAGTTATTTACTTTAAACACCATTTCTTGGAAATACGCACATGAAACACTAGACTTCAATGGGGATGTTGACAGGGTATGAAAATTAAAAATATAATTAGTCCGTAACTTAGGTAATAAAAAAATATTAGACACGTATTTTTTTATTTTGTTGTATAATAAAACAATACTTAGATCAAACGAATCAAAGTTTAGGAGTGGGGGCTAAAACGTCATTTCTTAGTATAAAATGTACTGAGAGGTGACGTCACGCGACATTTCAAATCAATATATCTTCGAAACTATTCGTTTCCGTAAGAAAATAAAAAATACGTGTCTAATGTTTTTAAATAATCTACCAGACGGACATTAAAATAAAAATTAGGGGTCCTTCGCTGTTTGACACCATGAATTTTTGACACCACGGTCTCAATCGCAGAAGAACGTTTTTTGAATTGGCTGTTTGGGACCACGGTGTCAATCGACGAATACCTTATTTGGCTTCGTTGATTGACACCATGATGTAAAACAGCAAAAACGCCACAATTCTAGAACTACCTAAAAAATACGAAGATTTATTATTCGCTGACTATACATACAAAAATAAGCGCATAATAATTTTTGCAAAAAAAGAAATGACCAAATATCTAAAAGAATCAAAACGATTTTTTGTTGACGGCACTTTTAAAATTTGTCCCAATGGTTTCCATCAAGTATATACTTTTCATGCGGATATAGGCAGCAATGAAGAATACGTCAACATAGTTCCCGTGCTGTATGCTTTACTTCCTGATAGAAAACAGGTCACTTACGAGATTTTATTTGAAATGATAAAAAGTCAAGTCCAAGAATGGGAGCCCACACACATTTCAATGGACTTTGAAGTGACTGCGATATTGGCTATAAAAGGTCTATTTCCAGAAGTGAAAATAGTTGGCTGTTTTTTTCCATTTTAGCCGCAGCTTGTGGCGTAAAGCCAAGCAGCTTGGAGTAATAAAATCTAGACTGGGCAGGATCCATGTGAAATTATGCACAGTTTTGTCACATTTGCCGCTCAATTTATTAGATGACGGCTGGCTGTATGTGATGGGAGAAAGTCCAAATAACGCTGAAATCACGAAATTCAATGACTATTTTGTCCAAACATGGCTCCAACACCCTGTTCTATCTAAAGTATGGAACACTTTTAACGAAAGTCATAGAACCAACAATATGGTAGAGTCGTGGAATGGAAAAGTAAAAAAAATAATGCCCTTAAAACCAAATATTGGTCAATTTCTTAGTGGAGTGGAAAAAGACGCCAAATTTTACTATAATAAAATTAACCAATCAGGACCTATTCAAATTTCTAAAAGAAAAAAAGAGAGCATGCAAATCAATGATAGAATTAATAACACCATCCAAGAATTATTGACTGGTCAAATAAGTATTGGTCATTGCTTAGAAAAATTAAGATAAAAATTTTAAATAGTAATATAGTCTAAGCAATTACCAATTATTGGATGATGATAATGATGATTGTGATCTTTAATTTTAAGTTATATATAGAGAAAAATATTTACCCAAAATCATGTTTTATATCATTATTCATGTTTTATATCTTTATTTGTTATTAGTAAAGAGGTTATTTACCTTTCCTATCTGTAATTTTTTATTGTTTATTAGAACTTTTTATATTTAAGGCAAGATGATTATGTGATTTTTAGTACTTAGTTATTAGTAAAAAGATTATTTATCTTTTCTATCTGTGATTTTTTATTGTTTATTAGAACTTTTTATGTATATTATGTGATTTTTAGTACTTAGTTATTAGTAAAAAAAATAATTTACCTTTTCTATCTGTGATTTTTTATTGTTTATTAGAACTTTTTATGTATATTATGTGATTTTTAGTAGTTAGTTTTTAGTAAAAAGGTAATTTACCTTTTCTATCTGTGATTTTTTGTTGTTTGTTAGAACTTTTTATTCATATACAAGATTTATTCATACAAGATTCCATTAAAAATTTGATTGTAATTTTTGTTTTAATAACCGTTTTCTTTTCGCCAGTACACAAATCACATTTGACCTTTAAATTGTTGAAAGTGGTCCAAATCAACAGTTTTATACCATGGTGTCAATCGACGAAAACAAAATAAGATATTCGCCGTTTGACACCACGGTCGCAAATTATTATGGAAATGGTCCTAAACAGCCAATTCAAAAAACGTTCTTCTGCGATTGACACCGTGGTGTCAAAAATTCATGGTGTCAAACAGCGAAGGACCCAAAATTAGTCGTCTACCCCATTTGTAGGTTCTAATCGCATCGCACGTGTCACCCGACTAGAAATACCTATTTGAGAATTACTTTAGCGTGGTGTTTTGATTATTTACAATGTCTTTTTATTAATTATCATGAGACATACTAAATTAACTAAAATTCGATTTGCGATTTTTAGTTAATGTACTATGTGTTCGTATGCGCTTTCAAAGTTTCGTTTTTCCAATGGTTCACCTGTTATGTTTTGTTTTAAACTTTTTATTTTTTTGTAAAACTATAGTATTACCGAGACAGAACCACTTTACATTGGGACAAAAATGAAGTAGATTCCACAGTGTATTTTTTGTGCATTGAAAATAAAATTGAGGTAGTTATTCTGTGTCCAGTGTACCTAAAATATGGCGAGCCTGTTGCTATTCTGCTAGCAATGTCCAAGTCGGTGCTAAAGAACATTGATCACATATATAGGAATATTTTTATCTTACACAACTCTTACATTTATTTAGGTAATCATCTCATTAATTAATTAATGATTATAAAGCATTTTAAATCGAAAATCCCAATATTCTTTCAGGATTACTAAGTCTTAAGTATGTTAAAAATAATTGCGATCATAAATAAAATTGAAAATATTACGTAACATTATGAGAAACGCTAAACATTTGTGACATTCCGTCATAATACAAGCGTCCAATTAGGAAATTCACGTGCAATAGACAATTTTTTAACACAAATGACTTTTTAATTGTAGATTTACTTATGAATGAACATTACGAACGTCACTTAATTCATAACTAATTTAAACAATTGACCGAGGGCTGCCATCGAATCTATTTAGTTGTCATTTGGTTACTGTGATGAAGAAGTTTATGTGGCCCGTGGATACAAAAATTGTGTTAAGTGAATTGATTTTACCAAACAATTCCTGTGACAGAGTGATAATTATTCTGGTTTAGAAAACGTATATGGAGATCTCTATTTTATAAATGGCAAGGTAATTATAATTTTTCGCTTTTAATCACTAAATTATCAAAATTATGTATACTCGATCACAACGATAATTATTATTAATGTTTCCGCATGTTTAGTGCGTCAAGGATTACTTTAAAAACTAGTCTTACAAAATATTAGCTATAGATAGAAACCAATAACATTGCAAAAACAAGAAATATTTATCATTGTATTCACGCAATGAGTAGGCACAATTCACTACCCATGTGGTATTTTTTTAAATTTATTAGATTTTTTTTAATCATTCCAGATGCACCGTTACTATAGAGCACCAGTTTTTTCAATATCTTGTATGTTGCTCATATTTCTCCTACCAATCCACACCAAATACACGAGCCCTTTATCATCTATCATGAATTTTATGCAAGACGAAACGGAACAGTTTGAAAATGAACCGCCTGACGAAATCCATTTATTACCTGCTTATGACTTCATAATTGTTGGCGCCGGCTCAGCAGGTTGCGTGCTAGCAAACAGGCTAACAGAAGTCCATGACTGGAAAGTATTGCTGATCGAAGCTGGGAAGAACGAAAACTACGTTATGGACGTGCCTATTCTAGCAGGATATCTGCAGTTTACGTCTGCCAACTGGGGTTATAAGACTATGCCATCAAACAAATATTGTGCGGGTTTCGAGAATCAACAGTGTAACTGGCCTCGTGGTAAAGTAATGGGAGGTTCAAGTGTACTAAATTACATGATATACACTAGGGGCACCAGACGAGATTACGACAAGTGGGAAGCTATGGGCAATGAAGGTTGGGGATGGGACGATGTACTACCATACTTCAAGAAAATAGAAAACTACAACATACCATCCTTCGACAACGCAGAATATCATGGACATGATGGCTATGTCAATATTGAATATGCTCCCTTCCGCACAAGCAAAGGCAAAGCATGGGTCAAAGCAGCACAAGAAATGGGATTTAAATACGGAGATCATAACGGAGCCGAACCTTCTGGGGTGTCCTTTCTTCAATTATCAATGAAAAATGGGACTCGCCATAGTTCCAGCAGAGCTTATCTACATCCAATAAACCGAAGGAGTAATCTACACGTCTCTAAAGACAGTTTGGTTACTAAGCTTATATTTGATGAAACTAGAACTAAAGTGATCGGAGTGAAATTACAAAAACACGATAGGAAATATAAAATACTTGCAAGGAAAGAAGTGTTATTATCAGCTGGAACTATTAACTCACCGCAATTACTGATGTTATCCGGTATCGGACCGAGAAGTCATTTGGAGACAATGAAGATAAATGTTGTGAAAGATTTGCCTGTCGGATACAATTTAATGGATCATATTGCTGCAGGTGGCGTACAGTTTACGGTGGAAAAGCAAAATTCAAGTTTTTCATCTGCATCGATATTAAACAATATAGACTTGGTGCTCGAGTGGATGTCATCACATAAAGGCCCCGTATCTATACCTGGAGGATGCGAGAGTCTTATCTTCATGAATTTAAATGATAAGTTTAATTCTAAAGCCTGGCCAGACATGGAACTACTCTTCATTGCTGGTGGATTGAATTCAGATCCGCTATTACGAAAGAATTTTGGTTTTGATGAACAAATATTTTCTAAAACGTACGGACCTCTAGGTGAATCAGACACATTTATGGTTTTCCCTATGCTATTGCGTCCTAAATCAAAGGGACGAATAATGCTTCGAAGTAAGAATCCTAAAGATTATCCCGCATTGATTCCAAATTACTTTGAATACGCCGAAGATTTGGAGAAAATTGTAGAAGGTATAAAAGTGGCAGTGGAAATATCAAAGCAACCGGCTATGAGAAAAATTGGCGCTCAAGTGTATGATGTACCCATACAGGATTGTTTGAAATATGGGCCGTTTGGGAGTGATGCTTACTTCGCCTGTCAAGCACAGATGTTTACCTTCACTATATACCATCAGAGTGGAACTTGCAAAATGGGAGTAGAGGATGACCCGTCAGCGGTGGTGAGTCCGAGATTAAAGGTCCACGGTATTGAGGGTCTCAGGGTAATAGACGCGAGTGTTATGCCTGAGATAGTGTCCAGTCACACGAATGCACCGGTTTATATGATCGCTGAGAAAGGAGCTGACATGATCAAGGAAGACTGGGGCAAATTATAGCAATTTCCATAAACGTGTGTACTGTGATACGTGTAGGTACAGCATTGGCTGATAATTGAAATCTGTGATATATGATAATTGAAGTCTTTAAGTGTCCAAAACACTTAAAGACTTAGTGTATTATTTTCATTTAATAAAAAATATTTTAATAATTTATTTTGTAATTTTGATTGATTTAAAAAGTAACAAAATCCCATTTATGAAAAATAGTGACTGTCCTCTATAACGCCTGTCTGGAATATAGTAGCAATATTACGACAACGAAATTGTTGCTGCACGGAAACATAAATTAAACTTTACCTAATTCTTTTTTTAATTCTTGAAATCAATAAAATGTGTATAAAGAAATAAGCTTTCTTTATTTATTTTCTACACGTCTCTGCCGGTAAAGAAGAAGTTTATTTAGAACGATGATAGATGGAGCTATCACCTCCATTGTTGCTTTTATCGGTAGAGACGGTAATGTGTAATGAAAAAATATAAGTAATTTTAGCATTTTTTAAATAAGTAAGTGTACATTTATCAGGTGAGCTTGAAGAAGTAATAAGATGAGACATTGAATCGATATATTCGATTTCCGTGTAAGATAATATCAAGATTAAGAATAACATAACATAATATCACGGCTTTTATCCCCGAAGGGGTAGGCAGAGGTGTACATTATGCCACTGTACAATGTAACGCCCTCTTTTCAGTATTTATGTTATGAGTCCCAAGTAATAGGGGGTGAGCATATTGCCATATACCGTGCACAATTCCAGACTCCGTGCTACTACTATTGTTAAACCCAGTAATACTTTGCCTGACCCAGGAATAGAAACCGAGACCCCTTGCCCGGCAGTCGCACTTGCGACTATTCGGCCAATGAGGTAGATTAAGAATACAGTTATTATTTACCAAAGTACTAATTAATGTAAATATTAATAGATTAGTATTAGGTATTGGATTATCAAAACCAGTTTCAATACCAACTCAAATCATTAAACAATAGAATGCAGTATACATTCCGACGCCTATATATTCCGTTTTAGCAATGAAACAACCCTACTACCTTTTGCTACCATATTTTTTTCGAATTTTAGTGTAGTTAAAACGTTGAGTGTTTTTTTATGGCATCATCCGATAAATGAGCAGAAGGATCACCTGATGGTAAGCCATCGGCGTCGCCCATGCACACCTGGAACACCAGAGGCGAACCAGAGGAACACCAAAAGGCGGCACCTTTTGGAGTTTAGGAGTTTGAGGATTGTTGGTGATTCAGGGATTGGGGAGATTGGGAAAGGGCAGAGGGGTAATTGGGCCTCCGGTAACACAACGCAAGCGTTGCTTCACGTCGGTTTTCGAGAAGCCGTGGTATAACTCTGGTCGAGCTGGCCCATTGGTGCCGAAGCATGGCTCTCCCATACTATAAAGTGTAAAGATAATAATATAATAATATTCCACTATTATGGCATGGTATAAAAAATGTGGTAAACAATTTCAGGCCTACTCAAGAGATTGGTTTTAATTAAAATTAATTTTATTTGTCTATAGGAACGTAATACGTAAACGTTAGACGTATTCTACACAAACTCTTATAATATTCCCAAACCTAAACCTGCTTATAAATGCATTTGTTAATAAAGTAGTGGTAATAGGCATTAAAGCTGCAACACTATAGGAAACTTAACAGTTATAATTTCGTCGACAAAGTGCATTAGTAAATAAAGCATGCACCCATTCGACCGTACGCTTGACACACGTACCTATTTTTTCAATGTCAAGTAGGTACTAGAAAAAAGTAAAAAAAATATATACTCTAAAACTATCGTGAGTAATGCGGTCGATCTCTCTGAGCGACCTTAGAATTAATAAAACAAACAATTGAATTAAAATAAAAATGTCCATCAATCATTCTACTTCGTTCATTATCTGTCCTTCTACGAGTATTTCCACATGGTAGCACATTAATTTATACTATCGAAAACTAACAACCTCATTTTAATGATACAGATAAGCACGTTAAGCTATACGAAATTGTCATGTCACTTTACATTTTGAACTTTATTTAAAGTAAGATAAAGTTAAATATCTATTAAAGATTTGACTAGTACATAGTTTTTATAATAACTATCGCTGCTCATGAAGCTCACCCCTCTGTGGTTCGAAACTAGTAGAGCTTTTCTCAGTATATTCACGAGAGTAACCCGCGATTTTTGTTAATTTAGTACATACAGCTTGATCTGCTTCTGTATGATCTAATTGAATTAGTATTTATTTACTTATCATAACGTCTGGTTTTCTTCGAAGGTAAGCCTACTTTGCTGCAGAAACAGTCCAATACTTATTTGTTTTTGAACCACTGCCTACTTTCACGTATTTTTGTTGAGTAGGTCAACGTTAAAGTAAAATTGACGGCCCGACAATAGAACAATTTACAGAAATTGATAAAACAAACTTGTGATGTCATAGTAATCCGATCAGTTTGAATCATTTCAAAAACGTTCAATTGAAAAAGAAAAAAATTAGTTTTGATTTCCAAGGGTTTGTTGTCATATCTACTCAAGCTGTCCACTCCGCACAACTGTTCAAATGAAAATACCTGTAACAAAAAGAAAATTATCATTAGTAAATTCATGATGACTACTTACTATTTAATTCATAATTATAAGAAGATCTGTTATGAAAAAGATGAGCAAAATTAATTAAGTTTTTAGCCATTCTTCAAACGGGTGGGTAACTAAAGGCATTACAATTGACAGAAACCAGACAGCTCTCTCTGATAACTGACTGACTTTAAACTAAGAAGACCACCTGTCAAGCATGCAGATTGAGATAGATGGATGACAAACCCTCTAATGTACAGGATGTGCAGTAGATTGTCAAGCCCTATACGTAGCCGCGGAGGAGTTAACGGTTTTTTTTTAAGGGGGGAAAGTCATCGAATGATTGCTCCCGCCTGGGTGAGGCGGGAGGGAGTGTATCTCTCGCATCACCCAAGGCGGGAGCTGCCATTTGATGATTGTCCCTCTTAAAAATAAAAAGATTGCCAAGAGCTATTTGTTGTTGGCTCTTTTTCCAACAACAACAGCTCTTGGCGTCTAAACCGATCATCGAGCGAGTTATTCTAGCAACCACTACCTATCTATTATTATGACGTACTTGTTGCTCCAATAAGTCAGCGCAATGTCAAACAATCGGATTATAATCACAAAGTATGAGGTTTCTTATTGCAACACACAAAACATTACGTACATACATACAAAGATCTCTGCCATCTCAAGGTTATAATTTATTACACTTTCTATTTGTTCTGTGCTACTGTACAAAAAATCTCAAAGCGAGACTAATAAACTAATATTGATGGATACTCATGAGTGTCATAATATGACATTGTTGACATTATATTCAACAGCACAGGATTTTTATTAAGTAAGATTCTAATACTCCCTCGCGTCTCACCCAGAGCTGGAGAGTCTATATCTAAACTGCAGTTTCTATTACAACAATTAGCGACAAGATTTCTATCTACACACACACATCCATCCAAACGTTTACATATCAGGTATGTGGTAAGATTATTATAGCTTTTGGAAGCTGAATTTCAGGAAAAGCATGAGACTCAATTCTATCTCTCGCACACGGATTTGTATGTAGGTATGCAATTCTTGGATTTAAATTCTTATTACAATAGACGTATCATTCAATCTGGCATTGAAATAAACACAATAATAATAAGTCTACCTAAAGTTGTCTAAAGAGCCTCTGAGCTGGTTTCAGCCCCTCGTACGCCTCCCAAATGACCGGGACCCTATGGTCCCGTGATCGGTAAAGTCTACCAAATAATAAAATTTGGTAATAATCCACATGCAGTATCTATGTCGACCGAATAGTGGCATTCCGCAGTTACTGCTCCATACTAAGGCATTAGATCAACAGTCGATCTCGTTACGTACAGACAAACAGACCATATCGGTACACGAACAATATATCAACTAATACGTATTTAAATATAAGTGATAATTCGGATATCCATGACTATGTAAGTACATAAATAATATTTCATTCAATATTTAATTTGTGTGTACTTTAACATAATGTTCCTGCAAAAACTTCACATGCAACAAAACTTAGTAAATCTTATTGCAAGTATCAACAAAGTCGCATTTTCCTTAACGTTTTAATGCTAACCATTACACCTAACTGGACTACAAACCTAAAATGTGTACAAATGTCACCAAACATTCCTAATATCGTGGAAACTAAACAATCATTAGGATTTCGCTGAAATCCAGTAACCAATGTATGAATTAGATATGTACTACAATAAAATATTTTAAAAACCAATGTAGAGGTAGATACCTACTTATCGCATACTAAATCTGTTACCTTACTAAAACACGATAAATAATTCTTAAACTAGAGTATATTCTTACAGTTTTTTTCATTATTAACCAAAAAAAATAACTTTAAGAACGATAGTGATATTTTATTTACTCATATGATTTAACACGTCGAGTACCGTCATTATAGAACTATAGGTTGCGGTCACCGGTGACCGCTTGGTGTTTGATAGTTTAAATGCACAGATTATATAATATGTAACTTATGTATCAACTCAATTTAATCACACTGTGTCCAAGGTGAAGTTTACTTTTTATTTACAAAAGCAGTACCTATTATAGTAAAGTAATTAGTAATTTGTACGAAATGAAAGAATTGCAAAAACACGCTACTAACAATACTTAAAAAATAATTAATTCACATTGATAAAGACATATTATTGTTTTTTATTTTACTTGCATCTTCTAAATAAAGTCTTTAAGTTTTCAGTAAGTAAAAAAAACTTGCTTTCTTATTCCTTACCTATACTATTGAGTTCTTTTGTTTCAATATTTTGGAGTAGGTAGCTTTTAACCACGGCTGTTTTATCTCATGAGAGCATTTAAAAAGTATCCTATGCCTAGCCCATGACCTGCCTGTATACCAAATTTCATCAAAATCCGTTCAGTAGTTTCAGCTTCATTGACGGACAAACATTCAAATTGTTTATCTTTAACAAACGCAAATACTAAATAAAAGATGCTTTAATTTGAAATTTAATTAAGATTTAGGTATTAGATTCACCTTCAAATAGACTAATATTAAAACAGTAAATAAAAAGAGACGAAAATAAACCAGAAAGTCTGAAAAAGAAGGTTTTCATTTTGACCTCTATGTTGTTCGTGACTATCTCGCAATTGGCTGAACCAATTTTGATGATGTTTTCGGAAAATAGTTTGTTATACTTATATATTCTGATTCTGATTTTAGTATATTCATTAACCAACTTCAAAAAGAGGGGGCTCAAGGCGGATTTTTTAAACTTAGTTTATAAATGAATTATTTCTTTTTACATAATATGACAGATATCTATGATATTTGTCTCATAGGACAGACAGCCTTATTATCACTAACGCATTAATTAGGAAGCTTATAACTAGGTCCCTCGATATAACTTCTAACCTGTTTGTCTGTATAAACAGCATTTTGTGTTTTGAAAGGGGCGGGGCATAATGAGTGACAGACTATTACTGATTAAATACCACCCCGTTCCTTTTCCTGCACTTCGAAACGAAGCCCCAGCAAGACATAAAGTCCTCCGCGACTCCTGTTTAAACAGCTAGTAATAGTAATTAAAAATGTAACCTAAGTACGCTAGACTGACATTGTGTGACCGTCGAATTTCAGCACGTATTTTATACACCTCTCACTACACAGTGCACCTACTCCAATAATATAGTAATTACATATTATTATGATTTTACAAAGTACGTACGGAACACGACCTTCAGTGGCAACGTTCATTATAATTTAATTATATTGCAGGACCAGGAATCAAAGTCTAAGTTCTCATGACACAAAATAATTAATGTAAAAAATTGCGTTTCTAGAAGACTAACTGCGTAAAACTAAATTATAATTAAATTAAAAGTTTTTCGTCTAAAGAATATCTGCATATAAATAATTATATCTAACAATAAGATAAGTAAAATCAAGTAATTGTATCTACAATAGGAATCCACTAAAACCTTTTTTTTTCTGAGGGGGGAAAATTATCCGATGACTTCTCCCGCCCGGATGAGGCGAAAGGGAGTGTCAGACTCTTACTGACTAAAAATCACCCCGTTCCTACTCCTGCACTTTGAGCCGGAGCCCCGGCAACCCGTTAAGTCTTCCGCGGCTCCGCATCGGCATCAGCCCTGTTGGACCTCATCTGTGGTAGTCTGATTGCTTCTTGAGGCGCGCGCAGAGTGCGACGCGCCGTACGCTCGGGCCTGGTTCTGGTCGGGTGGCGAGTCACCCGTGCTCGTCGTCCGTAGGCCCGTGCGTCCACTAAAACCTATAAATTTATTACTATGGGGAGTAATATGCAAGGTACAGAAAAGTAAGCCAGCTTTAAAAAAATATAGATGATACAAAGCACAAATCCATAATGGATTCGTCGGCCGAGGCATTGCCAAAGGTGATCTCACTATCAATAATAGCTTAAGCGCAAATCGAATATAGTACAATGGAAAACAAGTTAATGTAGAGAATTGACATTGACATACGACAAATTATGTCAAAGCTATGTCACTATAACTTACTCGACTATCATAGGTGCATTAGCATAGGTTTAAACCGACAGAGACATACATGTTTTTTGTTAGTTTTCCTTAGGAAGTAGGACATTTTTCGTAGCTTCTGGAATCAAGAATAATAAATCTTATATCTTACATTCTAATACGTGTTTTATAATTATAAAGCTGAAGAGTTTTTTGTTTGGTTATTTATTTAAACGAATCTCCGGAATTACTGGTCCGATTTGAATAATTATTTTATGTATAGGTAGTGTATTTATGGATGACGGCTATAGACTATAAAACATCACGCTACTATTAATAGGAGCCTAGCAGAGAGGGTAAATAGCTAAGTAGTAAGTCTATGAATTACAGAATAAGAAGAAGATATCTGCTTTATCAATCATGATGTTATGTGAGTACAGTAAAATAAATAATAATACTGAACCGCTACATGAACGTACTTACAACTGAATGACTTGGTTTTCCGAGTGTAATGAACCTTTATTATATGTACCTGGCCAGAAAAACAAAACCAGTAATGAGACTGCTGATAAAAAACTTTTTACGATGAGATATATTTATTTAAACTGTACTTTTGGCATATAATCATTTTGATCACGGCACCACAGTCCACATGTGAATGTTTCTAGTCGCGCGCTTATCATTAGCTATCGTTACAACAAAACTATGTATCATGATTTTTAATAAACTCTGTAAAGATTTTTCTTTCGACCCATTTAACACATTAGATGCCGCGTCGGACAATGATGTCCGACGCTAGCGGAGGATTAACCTTTAATAGTTTTTGTTGGCAATTAAAGGCTTAACACAAAGCTCACTGTGGCGCACAGGCAGCTGAACCTTAATTTCTTTAATTCATAGTGGGTACCTATACGGTGTATAGGTATATGTTTGAAGTAATTTGCGCATCATTTTAGATTGCCTGTAGTTTAATAAGTAATTTTAGTATTGTGTTAGCATGTTTCTATTCTCCGTT